CCCCAAAACCCCAAAACCCCAAAACCCCAAATCTCCACTCAAAAAAAAAAAATCTAACCTAAAATTCCAAAATGTTCCAGTCAACCCCAAAATCCAGTCAATTTTCTTCTAAAATTTCTAAACCAGAACTAGAAAGTCTCCTCTTTAAGACTGGAATCTGTGTTAAGAAGTACGAACAGATTGTGGGAGAGTTAAAGGAGGGCATTCAAGAGGTTTTAGAAAACAAAGATAAGCAACAAGCCTGAGTCCTGATGAGGAAGATTAAGACTTGTTATCAAGAAATCTGTGAATTTGATGGAATCAGGCTGCATTTGGATTCTATGTTGCTCGATCTTGAGAGTGGCACGATGGGGCCTGATTTATACAATGCAATTAAAGCAGGACAAAAAAAGTTAGCACAAATTGTAAAATTTACCAAAATAGAAGAAATTTTGTCGAAAATTGAAGCTACAGACTCAAGAATTGAACAAATTGAAAAATTATCTCAAGATTTTGTAGAAGAGGATATTTCTAATTGTGATGATATTTTTGCTGAACTCCAAGAAGAACTAGAAATTGCTACCCCTTGCAACTGTTTTCATTTAAATCAATCTAGAGTAGACGAATCTTTGGCCGACAGGTATCCAATTATTTTTACCCATTAACACAACTTCAAAATTAATCAAAAATCAAAATTAATTCTTCTAAGATATATCACTAAATCCTAAATTCTAATGACCAAGCAAAAACTCTAAAAATGCCCCTAAATCCAACTTTACTGCAAAGCCACCAATCTCAAAATTACACACAATCTTTTTCATTACCGATCAAGGTTTTCTAATCCTTGAACCCCCTGGAGCCAATAAGAGTTTTTCTCATAATTTAACCACTCATCTCTCTATGCATGCAACATTTCTCGTTTAGAATTCCAAAGAATAAGCAGCAACAAAAAGAGGCAGAGATGGCTCAAGAAGAGGAAGATCTCCTATCTGAACTCAACTAGAAGCCCTAGCTGAGTTTCTGATCCTGCAGTTAGTGTTTAGAAGTATTTTTAATATCTTTAATGTTCAATAATTTGTGCGAAAATGGGGTTTTGGGGTTTTGGGGTTTTGGGG